CTGAGAAAACCTGAGTGTAGTAATATGGTGGTGTAGCAAAGTGTTATTAGATATGCATATCAAAATATTTAAGAGTGAAATATACCTGTACTTCCCTAAAAGATTTCAACAAAAACTGGGCAACAAATGTCAAAACACTAAAAAAAGTTAAGTGTAGGTGATAAGTATATGGTATGTATTAGACAATTTTATACACATTTTATGTGCATTTGTAATATTTATGATAAATATTAAGGACTAGTGACAAAGATCAGTGATAGAGTGCTTGTCTGGCGAACATGAGGCCCCAGGTTCCATTCCCAGTACCACCAAAATAGATATAACGAATATTAAAAATTGACAAATGCCTGTAATCCTAGCACTTAGGATACAGAAGCAGGAAAATATCAAGTGTAAGGCCAGCCAGGGTACATGGTGAGACCCTGTCTCAAAATATACAGTGCCAGTGAGATGGCTCTGCAGATAAAGACACTTGCCATCAAGCCTGGTCACCTGAGTTTAATCCCTGGGACCCACATAGTGGAAGGAAAGAGTTGATTCTCATAGAATGTCCTGTGAACTACACACACACACACACACACACACACACACACACACACACACAATGTTAAAATAAATAATTTTAAAGCCACATGCCCCAAACCCCAGTGCTGAGGAGACTGGAAGATCCCCAAAGCTTGCTGACTAGCCAGTCTAGCCAAATCAACCAGCTCTAGGTTTTTCAGTAAAAGATCCTGTCTCAAAAAATAAGGTAGAAAGTGACTGAGGAAGATACTCAGTGTCAACCTATGGCCTCCATAAGCACGTACACTCACACATAAAGAGAAATAAAAGAATCATCAATGACTAGTGACATAAATACCATGGATCTATGCACAAGGATGTTTGTAATAGAGTATATTATAAACTAATTCAAAATATTTGGGAAATGACTAAATAAATGACATATTTGACATATTACAGAGAATATCATGTTACTATTAAAAAGAACAAAGTAAGGGGACTAGAGAGATGGCTCAGTGGTTAAGAGCACTGGCTGCTCTTGCAGAGAACCTGGGTTCAAGCCCCAGTACCCACATGGCAGCTACCAACTGTCTGTAACTCCAGTTCCAGGGGATCTGACACCCTCTTTTGACCTCCGCAGGCATTGCCCAACACGGATGTAATTACATACGTGCAGGCAAAACACTCATATACATTAAAAAAAAAAAAACAAAAAAACAAAGCAGAAATTTATTATATTACTTTGCTAGAGCTGCCATAATAAAATATGGCTTTGTTAATTTTTCTATGTGTGTGTGGTGTATTTGAGAATACATGTTTACTTGTGTGTGCAGGTATGCATATACATTCAGGACAGAGGTCAATGCTGGGTGTCTTCTATCACTCTCCATCTCGCTTTTAGAAATATGGTCTCCCACTGGCAGCTAGATTTGCTGGCCAGCAAACTCCAGGAATGCACCTGTTGATGCCTCTCCAGTGCTGAAATTACTGGTGTGTTGCCACATCTGGTTTTTTACGTGCACTGCAAGCATTCTACCAACTAAGCTATCTACCCAGCCCACAAAGTATGACTTGGATGGCTTAAACAACAAACATTTCCTCACAATTTTGGAGGCTAGATGTCCAAGATTAGGTGTCATAAAGTTTGGTCTCTTCTAAGGCCTCTGTCCTTGGATCATATTATCTCTTCTCAGTGCCTTTCTACCAAGTTGTGTCTAAAATTCTTCCTATATCAATCATACACAGAACCAATGGCTTCATGTTAAATTGATTACCTCTTGAAAGACCCAATCTCTAAATACAGTTATATTATGAGGTATTGTGGGTTAGGATTTAGTATATAAAATTTGAAGGGACACAATTCAGTCCATAATATTTACTGTGCAAGGATGCATATAATTTTGAATTAAAAAAATAGGACACCTTTATCAAATCTCTGTCACCGAAGGCTCATTGCAGAAGGGGAGGAGGGGGATTGTAAAAGCCAGAGGTGGTAGATGACCACAAGGAAACAAGTCTTCCAGACAGCTGGGTAGTTACCCATATGAACTCACAGCAATGGTGACAGCATGCACAAGACCCACATAAGCTCAAGCATCCCTCAGCTCAAATCCCAGCCTAGAAGTGGGGAAATAGGGAAGCAGCCCCAACCCTAGCTGAGGAACTATATTGGCAACCGAGCTGCTGGGAGGGGTAAAATCAGTCTTCTTTAAGGGTGTAATGTGACACTGGGTAGGTCAACCAGGCTTCAGTGGATGGACCCACACTGAAGAGCATTTGGGGATACAAATTTAACCTGATAGGCCTCAATTTAGATAACATAGTACATGAAATCAGCGGGGGGCATTAAGGAAGGGTGCAGATGGGGGAAGGGTCTAAATATGATCAAAATATATTGTATGAAATTTGCAAAAAGTCAATAAATTTTTTAAAATTTTTCTTTGTTTGGGGGGACACAATTCAGCCCATAATATTTGCTAACATGAAAAGATGCACATAATTTTGAGTTTTTTAAAAAAACAAAGTACAGCTGGGCATGGTGGCACACGCCTTTAATTCCAGCACTTGGGAGGCAGAGGCAGGCAGATCTCTGTGAGTTTGAGGCCAGCCTGGTCTACATAGTGAGTTCCAGATCAGCTGGGAGACCCTGTCTCAAAAAAACTGAAAAAAAAAAGAAAGTACAGAACATGTTTGATATGATTCCATATTTTTTAATGTAATACAACTAATACAATAATAAAGTCTCTGGCATATATTTATATATCATTTGGGGTAGTGGAAGAATAGATACATAGTTGTTAATAATGGTTCCCTTGGAAAATAAAACTGGAATGAAGAACCAAAGGGAGAGATACAGGTCTATTCTTTCTTTATGAACACAGGTTACTTTTGTTTGAGGAATTTGTTGTTGTTGTTGTTGTTTGTTTACTTGTTTTTGAAACAGAGTTTCAAGTAGCCCTGGCTGGCCTCAAACACACTTTGCATCCAAAAGTGGCCTTGAATGGGTGCTCCTCCTGCCTCCACCTCACAAGTGCTGGGATTGTACGTGTGCACCACCACCTGCTAACAAGGGCTACTTTTGCAATTTGAAAAATTTTAGCTGAATAGACATAGCTATAATACATACTTCAAAAAGAAACAACAAAAAAAGAGTCTTTCAAAATAAGAGTTAGATACTGGGCGTGGTGGTGCATACCTTTCGGAGGCAGAGGCAGGTGGATCTCTGTGAGTTCAAGGCCAGCCTGGTCTACATAGTGAGTTCCAGGACAGCTGAGGTTACAGGGAGACCCTGTCTCCAAGACCAAAAAAAAAAAAAAAAGAGTTAGAGAAAAGAAAATGTTCTTTTTGAAATGAGAGTTGTCAACTGACATTCAATCCCAGGTATATTAACAAAGAAAATAGAAAAACAAAACAGTGCCAAACTAGAAGTTACATAATGGAAAATAAAAAGTATAACTCTGACATTTGATTTTCAGGTATGGATGTGTGTAAGTGCACCAGTGTCACATAATGCCCACGGAAGACAGAAAGTGTTGGATTAAACAGGGCCCCATTCATATTTTAATGATCTGAGTATATGTTTCCATCCACTAGACAGTAAACTCTTGGGTAGGAATTGTTTCCGTAGTGTCTGACATATAATTCTGCAACAGAAGTGTATAACTCATATCTGATGGTTTTCTCCACCAAACTCTGAACTTGATGAAGCTGAACAATACATTTGGTTTTGTTGCTACTGTTGTTTTTGAGATAGGGGCTCCCTGCAGCCCCACCTGACCTGGGACTCACTGGCTCTGCTTGGCCTTAGTCTCACAGAGATCCCCCTGCCTCTGCCTACCGAATTCTGGGATTAAAGGCACAGGCCATTACACCTGGCAAGAAATGTATCAGAAAGAACTTAAAGCATAACACAGAGACTGACATAGGTCAGATTTTCAATAAATATTTTGGATGGTTATGTTACTAACCATCAGTAAGTAACCTCTACTGGACCTGCTCATCTTCCAAGAACAAACAGCTTCTTGGGGGCGTGGTGGCACATGCTTTTAATCCTGGCACAAGCCTTTAATCCCAGCATTTGGGAGGCAGAAGTGGGCAGAGTTCTGTGAGTTGTCAGCCGAGTCTGCATAGAGCTTTCCAGGCCATCTAGGGTTGCATAGTAAGACCCGGTCTGTCTAAAACAAACAAAAAAACAAAAACAAAACAAGAAAAGATGTAGTATTTGAAATTACTTTTACCCTTTAAATTTTTTTTTTTTTTTTTTTTTTTTTTTTTTTAAAAAAAAAAAAAAAAAAAAAAAAAAAAAGAGGACGATAAATCTTTCACTGTGATATATCAAAATAGCCCTTGAACTCACAGAGATCTGCCTGCCTGTGCCTCCCGAGTGCTGGGATTAAAGGCGTGCGCCACCACGCCCGGCACCCTTTAACATTTTTTAATTGGTCACTTTCCCTCTCATTTTCGTTCTCATCATCACACAGAATATGATTTTCACTATTTGAAAATGTGAGTTTTTTTGTGTCTTTTGTTTACCCTATGGCAAACGGGTAGCAACTGTATCCAGCCTCTCAGGTAAATGCCACAATGTCATAAATCGGGAGCATAGGGGTGGTGCTTGGAGGGAGAAGTGAACAGTTAGACCCTAATTTATAAGCTCTCTTTCCTGGTATGATTGTGTTAAAGTCGCACGTTCTTGGGTGTGAACCACTGGTAAGAAAAATCTCAGTGTTGCTTTCGTCTATAACTAAAAATGTGGGGCTCACTGAAGAGTTAAAACAGTGTTAGGAAAAGCTGTGACCTTCTCTTTATTCTTTCACTGCGGAAACAAGGGAAACATTTCCAATTACCTTCGCAGGGGCTGGATTAACAGTTCTACCTAAAGAACCCTGGACTCTACAGAGCAGGGTCGGCCGCGCACCCGCGGAGGGCGTGGCCCCGAGCCGAGCTGGGGGCGTGGCCGAGGGCGGGTCCTGGGCTCGAGGGGCGGGGCCGCAGAGGGCGAGGGGCAGCCTGGGAAGCGGCGCCATATTGGAGGCGGCCGGGCTGTATTGTCATAAATAGAGCCGGGTTTGTGGTGTTGCCACTGCTGGGTTGAATGCCTCGGCCGTGGTGAGTTGGGAAGCGCGCGAGCCAGCGAGCTAGAAGCGAGCGGAGCGAGGTGGAGCGGAGAAGGAGGACAGGCTAGAACCGGACTCCAGAGCGCAAGACACCCGCCGTATAGAGACACGCAGGAAGCGATGAAAGAGATGTCTGCGTAAGTGGGGGCGGCGGTTGCGGGCGAGGTGGAGAGGTGCGCTGAGGTGGGCGGCCGGCCCCGGGGGCCACCCTGTCCTCCGCAGGGGCGCTCCCCTACCCCGCGACTCACCTGGCCGACCTGCTTGCCTTCGGGTCCTCGGGAGTCCCCGTCAGCCCTCGGCCGGCTTCCGAGGACGCCCGCAGTCCGGGACGCGGCCAGGCGCGTGTGGCGGACGGGGAACGGCGGTCACCGCCTGCCCCTAGCCCTGGGAGCCGGGCCGCTACGGTCTGCATTGGCGCAAACACTAGATACCATCCCCCTGCGTCCCCCTCCTCCCAGCCCGAGTGGCTGTCCTCAGGTCTTCCGGAGGGAAGAGCCCAGCCCGGGCGAGGGGGTGCGCCCCCCTCCCCGCGCCTTCCCACCGTATCCCGGCATCTCTATCTACCTTCTGCTCACACTTTGTTAAGTCAGAAGCAGTTCCTGTACTTGCCAGGAATTTATTATGGCTGGCTCCTTAGGTTGCAGTTAATTGGGAAATAAAGCAATCCTACAGAAAATGCAGAGAATTAGCAGAAACTCTGGTTTGCGTAGCCACCACCCATTTCTCCCAAAGAATAAGGTGCTGTGCTCTACCTTATCGCTTTATTTAAAAGAAGTCAGGCATTCCAGTACATCTGAAGGACTCACCTGCACTTTCGCTGGTCCGATTCTCACCATTCTTCAGAGGTCCCATAAAACTGAATGTGTTGTCTTTGGTCGCTGCATTTGTTAATGCTACTCCTATGCCTCTGGCCATGACTCTATTGTGCTTGTTTTAAACTAGGTATAGTTGATATCACGATTGCCACTATGCAGCCTGCTTCTTTATAACATAACTCTGACCTTTCTCCATGTTAACATTTGCATTCCTAATTGTTATTAACTAATGTATTGCGTTGTATATAAATACACCCCAATTTAGCCCCTTTAGCGACTATTTAGGTTTTTTAGAAGTTTTACACTGTGAAGGTGTATATTCTTTCACATATCTTCTTGTACACCTGTAGTAAAATTTCTCAAAGGTTTTTACCTGTAAGTGAAATCGATGGGTTAAAGGGTATGTGGCCTCCCTCCCCCATAAGAGAGGTTCAAAACCCTAAATTTGGAGTTTGGACCCCAGGAGAGACCTAGATGGCCACCATTTTGAGAATACAAATAAGAAAGTGAGGGCCAGGCGTTGGTGGCACATGCCTTTAATCCCAGCACTTGAGGGGCAACTGCAGGTGGATCTCTGTGAGTTCAAGGCCAGCCTGGTCATTATAGTGAGTTCCAGGCCAGCTGAGGCTACAGGGAGACACTGTCTCAAAAGACCAAAAAGTTCTTAAAAAAAGAAAAAAAATGAGGACTGGAATCCCACCTTTAGAGCTGAAGTAGTTTTGTGGAGGGGAGAGTGGAGAGGTGGGAAGAGGTGTCTCGTTAAACCTTAGGTTATATATGTAAAATAGCATTTATTATTTTTTATTATTTATTAGATAATTTGATGTTTTCTTTATTATATAAAATGGCATTTATTTTTTTACCTACCTCTCAGAGTTTTTGAAATTAATTATATGAAAATCCATCTGTGTTCATTGTATATAACCAGCACCCTTAGCTCTCTTAGATGTAAAAAGCCAAATCTTTAAGAACTACAATTTGAACTAACTGAAGTTTTACTAGATCGACAGCAAGATAAAAAAGGTAGAGAAAGTTGACATTGACCCCCTATTTTTCATTGAGTCATTTGGAAGGTATATAGACTACTTGTTTATTGAGACCAGGTTTCATATAGCCCAGACTAGCCATGAACTTGCTGATTCTCTTGCCTCTACACCTCTGGAGTGCTGGGACTAGGTGTTTGGTGTACTACCAAGCCTAGCCAGGCTATTCTTCATCTAATCAAATCTGTAGCTAAAAAACATGCCTTACAGCCTGGCATGATGGCGCACGCCTTTAATCCCAGCACTTGGGAGGCAGAGGCAGGCGGAGTTCAAGCCCAGCCTGGTCTGCATAGTGAGTTCCAGGACAGCTGGAGCTACAGGGAGACCCTGTCTCAAAAAGACCAAAACAAAAAAAAAAAAAAAAAAAAAAAAAAAAAACATGCCTTACTTGTAGACTTAGTAATGATAAGCCAATGTCATTTTTGTAGTTTGGTTTGGATGCTGAGGTTGGACTCAGGGCTTAACACATGCTAAGCAAATCCTCTACCACTTGTGAGGCAGAGGCAGAGGCAGGCAGATCTGTGAGTTCAAGGCCAGTCTGGTCTACATAGTGAGTTCTAGGCCAGCTGGGGCTACAGGGAGACCTTGTCTCAAAAAGACCAAAAAAAGTTAAATGCCACAAAAACAGAATAGCAGTTATTTTTTCATTGTAACTGGTTAAAACACTGGCTTGGGGCTAGAGCTCAGTGGTAGAGGGCAGTGTTTAAATTTTTTGATTGACACATAGTAGTTGTACATATTTGTGTAATGATCAATTTAGGGCAGTTGGTATGTCCATTACATTTTTTGTTTATCTTTACTATTTTGAAAAATCCAATTATTATCAATCAGTTACTTTACTGCTGTATAGGACATTAGAAATCAGTCTTCATCCAGTTGCACTGCCATACCTATAATTTTTTCTGGCAAGATGGGGATCTTGCTTTGTAGCCTTGGCTGATCTTGATCTCCCATCTCCTACCTCAGCTTTGCCTGGTCCATTCATTTACCTCCCTCTCTCCAGCAGCTCTTATTTTTTAGTTTTTAAACATTTATTGCCAGGTGTGGTGACACACGCCTCTAATCCTAGCACTCTGGAGGTAGAGGCAAGTAGATCTCTGTGAGTTCAAGGCTAGCCTGGTCTGCATAATGAGTTCCAGGCCAGCTGGGGCTATAGGGAGACCCTGTCTTTAAAAGACCAAAAAAATTTTCTTTATTTCTGTGTGTATGAATGTTTTGCCTACCTATGTGTAAGTACATGCTTCTAGAGTTCAGAAGAGGACATTGATTTCCTGGAACTGGAGTTTCGGTTTTTTGTTGTTAGCTGCTGCCATGTGGGTGCTAGAAGCAAACGGGATCTTCTGTAAGGGCAACTGGTGCTCTTAACTGCTGAGCTCTCTCCTCTCCAGCTCCATTATTTATTTTTATTCTATGGTATGAGTGTATTGCCTACATGTAGGTAGGTGCTCCTGTCATGTGCAGTGCCCTCAGAGGTCAGAAGAAGGTGTCAGATCCCCTGGAACTGGAGTTAGGACAGTTGTTAGCTGCCATATGGGTGCTGGGAATTGAACCTAGGTTCTCTACCAAGAGCAGTCAGTGCTCTTAACTGCCGAGCCAACTTTCAGCCCCCTGTTATTTTTTTTTTTTTAAGGCTTAGTCAAGTTAAAAGGCTGCCTTTCGTTTTGAGATTACATGTTGTTGGTATGAATTGTTTTTAAAAATATGATAAAGATAAATTGCTGTTAGAGTATATATATATATATTGAGAGAGAGAGAGAGAGAGAGAGAGAGAGAGAAACAAAATAACCTGTTACACTTTTTGTCAAAAAATTTATTTTGGAATTATTGTATAAAGTCTCAAATTCTGTTGTACTTTATTCAAGATTGAAATTTTTTACTGGCTAAGGTAAGGTGGTTTTTAGTGTAAAGAATTTGGTAATTATTCAGTGTGAAAATAATATGAGTCCCAGTTTAAAATGAAGAGAATAATTAAGTCCTGTCACAAAATAACAGGACTATAAACTCCTGAGTCAAATAAAAGGTATTTGTTAATGTAGATTTTCCAAGGACTAACCTAGCTGTGATTTCTTTTTATTTATTTATTTTTTGGTCTTTTTGAGACAGAGTCTCCCTGTAGCCCCAGCTGACCTGGAACCCGCTATGTAGACCAGGCTGGCCTCACAGAAATCTGCCTGCCTCTGCCTCCTGAGTGCTGGGATTAAAGGCGCGTGCCACCATGCCCAGCGTGATTTCTTTTTAAAAGGCGGAGTATGTCTCAAGGACCTTCTAGTGGGATGTTTTGTTTCTTGTTTCCTTCCTTGGAGGTGAAACCATTGTTTTTACCAAGAGCATCTCTCAAGTGTTGACTGCTTTTCAAAAAGATTCCATAATATAGATGGTACTTGACTCAGGCTGTAGGATCCACTGGAGGTAGCCCTCCCATAGATCCCATTCAGGCTCTTTGTATTTGAACTGAGTATTGTTGATATAGTTGTCCTGATGCCAACACATACTGCTTTGGGTATGAAAAGACATTCTAACCAAGAAAGCTAGAGGCTGAATGACCCTTCATAAACTAAACATAAATACAAAATACCTAATTTTCCTTTAAAAAAGTGCTCAACAAACTTTTAAGGTAGTTTAATTAACATGAGTAGATTAAGAGGTTCATTGTGTCAGTATGATGTTTTAAATTTTCTCCATTTCTTAATTTTTCTTGAACAGAAACACTATGCTGGACAGCCAGCGGCAACAAAAGCATTATGGAATTACCTCTCCAATCAGTTTGGCTTGTCCTAAAGAAATTGATCATATTTATACACAGAAATTAATTGATGCCATGAAGCCATTTGGAGTATTTGAAGATGAGGAAGAATTGAACCACAGGTATGTCATTGAAAACTATAAAATACTTATATTTTGATCATGAATTCAACGAATGTTGAATGCTTTCTGTGTCCCTCCCTAGGTATATAGAAATACCAAAAAAGAAAAAAATAGGGACTAGAGGAGACTAACAATCAGTCAAATAAATAAATACAATGTTAGATAAGTGCTGCTGAGAAAGTAAATTTCAAGGTAGATGTCTTCAGAAAAGAGTCCATTGAAAAGTGATATTTGCCAGGTGTGGTGGCGCACGCCTTTAATACCAGCACTTTGGAAGCAGAGGCAGGCGGATCTCTGTGGGTTCAAGGCCAACCTGGTCTACATAGTGAGTTCCAAGACAGCTGGGGCTACAGGGAGACCCTGTCTCAAAAACAAAAGACCAAAAAAAAAAAAAAAAAGGAAAAGTGACATTTAAAGGAAAACTTTAAAGGTTAGGGAAAGAGCCAGGAGTTGGAGGCAGTGTTCTGGGCAGAAAGCCCAAGGTGTGTAGTTTATATGTTTGAGGAGTGTATAACAAAAAATCTTGGGTATCTGAAGCAGAGCGAGTAACTGGGAGAAATTAGGTCTTAGGTAAGAAGGACCTTCAAAGACAAGGACACTGTGAAAGTGTTGGAAATGGAAAGTTATTGGAATTTTGAGTAGAACATTAGCATGATCTGAGTTTTAACATAGTCTGTCTGCTGTACTGGCAATAGTCTAAAGAGGCCTAAAAGAGCAAAAGCAGGGTGACTCTAGTTGTAGTAACCCAACTTGAAAATAATGACACCTGGTACCTGGAGGATGACAGTGGAAATGACAAGTAGTATCATCAAGGTGCATTGTAAAGGTTGCAGTGAGGCATGGGAGAAACAGTTCTCAGTAATGACAGCAAGATTTTCAGTTCCAGCATCTCGGTGGATGGGGTTCCATCTTCTGGGGCAGACTGAGAAGTAATTTGGAAGGATCAGGAGTGAGTTTTCCATGCTATTTATGGGATGCCGAAACACAACTCTTAATTTTATTTAATGTGAATGCTTATGCCATTGATTTCAGGTTTAGTAATACCAAACTGCTTTAGTTAAGTAATATTTCATGAAAATTGGCTGATAATTAATTTACCCAATTTAATTATACAAAAACCCATGACTGTTAGTGAGAGAGTGCCGGCCCTACTACCACGTTGAATTGATGTGATTCTGTGTAGTAAGGCAAAGAAAACTGACAGTTTAGTTCTCCTTTGTATCCCCGTTGAAGGTAACTTTACTATTCACACTAGATTTTTTAATTTTTGAAATAACTCAGAAACCAAAATGCTATCATCACACTTATCCTGTCTTTGGCCCTCTTCCATCTCTGAGATGTGCTGTGTATGAAGAGCATGCACACATGATAGATACGTGCGTTTAACCTAGCATCAACACAAGGCTCTGCCTGTGTTTATTTCTTTAATAATGTTTAGGTTTTGGAGTGGTGTTTTTTTTTTTTTTTCCTATTTTAAAGTTTAAATCTAAAGTTGTCATTTTACTTTTTATTATAGGCTGGTTGTTCTTGGCAAATTAAACAATTTAGTAAAAGAATGGATTTCTGATGTCAGTGAGAGTAAGGTAAGACTCTAAACTGCATGAAATTCTTTGTTTCATTATATTTTGGCCATTCATCCTAGCAATAATGTACAAGGGTCAAATTATGTGACATGCTTTAAAATTTACTCTGCAAGTGTGTTGAACAGTAACATTTTATATAACGTATGGATGTTTACTTTTGTCTCTTTGAAAGGATGGTTTTTGCCTTGTTTGCAAAAGGGCAGCTTTTATCTGTTGTGATTATCTTTTTTTTTTGCAGAATAGTACTATTTGCAAGTTTGTAGCAAATGAAACATAGATTCAGTCCATTGGGTTTGATTTTCACCTTACCTGTACCAGAATCTTCTCATAAGTATTTTATTTTGAGTGGATTTAGTAATTTTGCAGCTCTCCATTTGGATTTTGCAATAAATAAACCACTAGGTTCCATATTGAGCAACAAATACAAAAACTAGGCTCTCTGATATACTTGGGAATAAATTGGTCTAGGCAATTGAATTTCTAAGTAAATGAGGTTTTACCCCAGAGATAACCAGTTATAGCTGCAAGTCTGTGCAGATGGCATGTTTGACCCACATGTAGTAGGCCAGAATTTTCAATTTCAGGCCTTACTTAGAAAGCCAGACCCTAGACTTTTTTAATTTTACTTATTTTATGTGTATGAGTGTTTTACCTACATGTATGTAAGTGGAGTGCTGAAGTAGGCCTTAGAGGATGTCAGATCCCCTGGAACTGGAAGTAAGGGCGGTTATGCTTGCTGTTGAACACAACCAAAAGAGGCTTGAATGGGATTGGGTTTCTTCTCTCCAGTGGCTGCTAGACCCCCACTCTTTTTTTTCTGACATGGTGACTGCCATTTATCAGTATCTATGTTTCTCAGGTGGAATTCTCTATTTTTGCACCTGCCTGGCCTCTCAGACATAGCTGTTTTCAAATCTTAGTTTATGATTATGCAGTTTCCCCTCTTGGAACTTAGCTGGTTTTCCTTTGAAATTAATTATATTTTCTGGCCTTTTTAAAGGGTTTTGAGTTGTGAGTTTTCTTTATTGCTCCATGAATATTATGCTAGCTAGACCAGAATGAGATAGGGCATGTTCAACTAGGTGGTAAAGTTTGGTTTGTATTAGTTCATTTCCTATCACTATAACTTAATACCTGAGACAAAATAATTATAATGAAAAGGTTAAGTTAGTACAGTTTTAAGAGGTTCAAGTCCAAGCTCAGGTGACCCTATTGTTTTGAGCCTCTGAGAGGTACAGGGAAGATGGCAGATGGCACTGACAGGAGTATATGTCAGAGCAGGTTTCACAGCTCCAGTCAGGAAACAACTAGTGGGATCTCACACAGTCCCCCCTTTGAAACCTCCCAGTCCACCCAGCCTCCTTAAGGTCCACTCTGACTCTCAATACTCTCACCTGAGAAGCAAGCCTTTTAACATAGGAACCTTTCAGGGAGCATCACTCATATTAAACCATTTGTCCATTCCCCAATTGCTCTAACTTGTATTTTAAGCTTTTTGTTTGTTTTTATAGTATCCTTGTCTCTTCCCTTAACAGTACTCAGTTGAAAGTTAATAGCTCAGTATGTCTACTTAGAAAATCTCTTTCTGCCCCTTAATCTTCATGGATTTAGAAATTGCCTGTTAGAAATCTTTGTTTATAACGCTTGTTCTTTTATGCCTATGATAAATTTCTAGAATTGGTTCTTTTAAACACTGGACTGAGAATATCAAGTAATGAGACTCTGAAGCCCTTGGTCATTAAATTTAACATGGTCTTTATGCTGTTTACTTTGTTGACACAAGGCTGTCTAGCTCATTTCTAGTGAATTGAGGATTACCAGTAGCTAAGGTGTTGGATAAGCTAGATTCTAGACAGGTGAAATGCTGGTCATGAGTAATGAAAAAAATCAGTTTTAACATCTGTTGAGTAGATAAAATAGTCATTTTGGTTTCAACATTATAATTTCATTCAAACATTTTAATTTTGGAAATAACCTAATGATTTGAGCTAAATCAAAGATCATTTGAATATTTTCCACACAATTGAGATGAACTCAAGTCTGAAATATAGATAAAATAATTTAGTTGTATTTTGCTGGCCGTGGCGGGGCATGCCTTTAGTCCCAGAACTCAGGAGGTAGAGGCAGGCGGATCTCTGTGAGTTCAAGGCCAGCTAGGACTACAGAGAGACCCTATCTTAAAAAGGCCAAAAAGAAAAGAAAAATTATCTACTTTATGATCTCTACTAAAGGCTAAAACTTACCACAGAGTTGAAGATAAAGAATGTTTCGTGAACGAGAAGGAACTTAAAATGAATTTTGACAGGTCAATATTAAGATACTGATAGAATAAACATGTACTTAGTGCAGGGACAGTGACAAATCAAAGGAGATTGAATTGTGAACCAAGTTAGCAGTTTGAACTTCAGAAAAGGGAGCCCATAGGAGCATGTTGTAGAGGTTTTCAGTAGCACGCCCAAGAATCCTTATTTCAGTAGTCCAAGAAGAATGCACTGATTAGCCTTTAGCAGAGAGATCATAAAGTAGATAATTTAGATGTGTTTTTTTTTTGTTTTTTTTAAAAATAGCATAAAGAGAAAAGACTGAAGGAAAGTGTGTAATGTAGGATAGTAATTAATTCAAAGTCTAGGTTAGGGGAGTAGAAGTTGAGAAGAGAAGCCACAAATATAAGGTATTTAATCTGGGTGTGGTGGTGCAGGCTAATAATTTCAGCACTTGGAAGGTAGAGACTGAAAAATATGAAGTTCAAGGTCTCCCTCAGCCACTCATAATTTTAACTCTTTGTGGTTTGTTTTGGTTTTTGAGACAGGATCTTACTGTGTAGCCCTGGCTGGCCTGGAACTCACCTGGTAGACCAGGCTGGCCTCAACTCAAAGATCTCTCTGCCTCTGAAATAGTGGGATCACAGACATACGCCACCACACACAGGCATCGCTAATTTGAAGCCATCTCGGGCTATAGGAAACCCTGTCTTAAAATAACAAAGTCATCAATAAATAAACAACAACAACAATAATAATGGCCCATTGTGGTGACCACGCATTTAGCCCCAGCACTTGTGAGGCAGAAGCAGGCTGATCTCTGAGTTCAAGGACAGCTTGGTCTACATAGTGAGTTCCAGGACAGCTGGGGCTGCAGGGCAACCCTGTCTCAAAAAGACCAAAAAATAAAAAATAAAATAAATAAATTGGGCAGTAAGAATATTGAGGAACATAAATAAGAAACTAAAAGGAATATCGTGTTTTTATCATAGAGCTAATGTTTAAGGCATGGATATTAAGTGGATCAGGATATATCTGGATAAGCACTTGGAATTGGCCCTGGGGAGAGGTAAAAAGTAGCTTTTAAATTATGGAACAAAGAAATGTTCATTGAAGTCTTCAGCACTCCTAAGTAGCTCCAGTCAAAAGTGACCTCATAGTTGGGTGTGGTAATACATGCCTTTAGTCCCAGCACTCTGGAGGCAGAGACTGATGGACCTCTTTGAGATCAAGACCAGCTTGGTGTCCTAATTTCCTGGATACTGGGGCCACAGGACGACTCTTAAAAAGGTTGCAAACCCAAAATTAAACAATTAAACATACCAGTTAATAAAACCAAGGGAAAGATGGGATTGACCAAAAGTTTTGTGTCAGAAATAGCTGGAAGTTCATTAGTTTGCTAATTAAGAGTTCCTTGATGGCTAATGAAAATAATGGATCCAAAGATAAGCATTGGAGTAGATAAAGGAATTAAAAAGAACGGTTTTCATAGGACAGTGATGTTGGCATATGTAGTAGACATAGTTTGTTTAGTCTGCCTCTGGAAACTCCCTCTTTACTTCCAAGTTGCAACTATAAGAGCCTTAAAGTACTTTTACAAATCTCTAAGATTGACAAGTTATTATATATCATTTGTTCAATAAAAGATAGTAAACATTTAAGTGCTTTTTATACAAAACGAACTGAATGATTGAATGCCTTTTGCTTCCTTTTATTTTAGAATCTCCCACCTTCTGTTGTGGCTACTGTTGGTGGTAAAATTTTCACATTTGGATCATACAGGCTTGGGGTACACACCAAAGGTAACTGTTTTTCTGTTCTAGTGATAAGAATTTTCAGTAAACTGTTTCCATTGTTGAGCAAATAGAGCACAGAATTCCCATTATCTTATTACTAAGCATTAACGATGGTTAAAGTTTGTATACTCATCTCCCATACTTTGTTTTATGTGAACATTAATGAAAATATACAATATATCCTTCTTAATAAGAAATACTTTGATTTGTAGGAGCTGACATTGATGCACTTTGCGTAGCTCCAAGACACGTGGAGAGATCTGATTTTTTTCAGTCTTTTTTTGAAAAATTGAAACATCAGGATGGTATTAGAAACTTAAGAGTAAGTATGCTCTGGCATTTAATATTTTGACATTAATAACATCTATAAAAGCTAGGGTTTATAATTATTGAAATATCTCTTTTAAGTTGCTCTATCTTGTTTATATAATGCATAGAACATAGGTTTTATAGTTCTATAGACTGTTTGTCTGACACATTGGCCTGGAACTTACCAGTTAGGTTAGACTTACTGGTCATTGAGCCCCAAGGGGTCGTCCTGTCTTCCTAGTGCAGTACTGTGCCCAGGATTGGGTTCTGTGGATCAGATTCAGATCTTTGTGTTTGCAAGTCAAGTGCTTTTGCAAGCTGAGCCAGTCTCCAACCCCAGTTTTTTGTGTTTCCTTTGTTTCTTTTTTGGCTTTTTGAAACAGGGTCACCCTTTAGCTCGAGCAGGCCTGGAATTCACCATGCCTGTGCCTCCCTAGTGCTGGGATTGAAGGCATGTGCCACCATGCCTAGCTCCCCAGCATAATTTTTTTGATAGACTAGATATGAGCTCTGAATAGTTTTTAACACTAGTACTTTTATTTATTTATTTTTTTTCTTTTTTGAGGAAAGAATCTCATGCCTTCTAGGCTCAAACCCTCAAACGTACTGTGTAGCCACTGAGTGCGGGGATCACAGGAGTGGATTGCCATGCCTAGTTTACACTAAAACTTTGTAACTAATCAGTTTTAAATTTAGTACCCAAGATGACAACAGTTCTGCCTTCCAATTCCTGACAAATATATTTTTTATTTTATTTATTTATTTTTGGTCTTTTTGAGACAGGGTCTCAAAAAAGACAAACCTGTTTATGGGGGCTGGAGAGACAGCTCAGTGGTTAAGAACACTGGTTGTTCTTACAGAAGACCCAGGTTCAAATCCCAACACCCACATGGCAGCTAACAACTGTCTGTAACTCCAGTTCCAGAGGATCCAACAGCCTTTTCTGTCCTCCACATGCATTGCACGACACGGATGCACTTACCTACATGCAGGCAATACACGCATACACATAAAATAAAAATAATAAAAATTTTTAAAAATCTGTTATTATGTGTATAAGTGTCATGCCTACGTGTATGTAAGTATACTCATCTGACAAATATTTTTTGGAAAGACAAGTTAAATAACAGTTGTAGGAATTTTGTGTGACCTGAATAACACAAGTTATAAAATAGAAGAGCTTAACTAAACATTACACAAATAATATGTTCATTTTTCTTTATTGAATTAAAATGAAAATTAAAAGCAAAGACGTATTCTTGGCAGTCAGGAAGGATAAATAACAGAGCTAACCTATGTGTTATTTTTGTCTCCTTTTATAGGCTGTAGAAGATGCTTTTGTACCTGTTATAAAATTTGAATTTGATGGTATTGAAGTAAGTGTTTAATTTTTTAAAATATTACTTTTATGTGTATGAGTGTATTGTTTGCATGTATGTAAGTACACTAATGTCATACATTGCTGGTGGAGGTCAGAAGAGGGTTATCTGATCCCCTGAAACTGGAGTTAAGGTTGTTAGCTACCATGTGGGTGCTGGGAATCAAACCTGGGTCCTTTGCAAGAGTAGCGACTGCTCTTTAATTGTTGCGCCATCTGCCCCCCTCCTTTTTTTTTTTGATTTTGCAATTGAAATATTTAACCTAGCTTTGTTTTAAAATCAGACTTAACATGGACATTTTTTGGATTGGTTTGGTTAAGATTCATTTTGGTTTTTGAGATAATGTAACACTAGCTAACCTCCTGGGGGTTGAGATTATAGGTATGGACCACCTTGCCTGGTGCTCTGTGGCTTAGGAATTAAGTAGTCTTTCCACTTTCTTTCCCATTTCTGTTGACTTCTTACCATGGAACATGAAACAGCCACTTACATCACTTCTGTCTACAATCATGATTTCTATACACATCTTTCTCATTCCCATAATCTTCTAAAATAATTGTACAGTTAGAATTTTAGGTGGCGCAGTATTCTATTTACATTGTTATGATCTCAAAGTTAAGTACTAAGTATACTGAATTTTCTTAGGAGTTAATGTTTGTTCTATTTTGTTTGCTTGGGTTTTATACTTAGGTCTACTTTAAACCCAGTCTTCTATAGTTGTCTGACTCGCCTTTAAGTAAGTTAAGATTCACCAAGCATCTTGAAAAATAAAGTTTCAGGACTGGAGAGGTGGCTCAGAGGTTAAGAGCACCGGATGCTCTTGTGGAGGACCAGGGTTCGAATCCCAGCACCCATATGGCAGCTAATAACTGTCTGTAACTCTAGTTCCAGGGATTCGAACACCCTTTTGTGATCTCTGTGGGCATTGCACAACATGGGTGCACTTACATACATGTAGGCATTACACTCATACACATAAAAAATAAAAATAAATAATTTTTAAAGAAAAAGTTTCACTGAGTCTTGTTATCTGTTCTAATCTCAGCTAATTATTTTCTTGTCTTCCTGAAATTTTCTTTCCCTACTCTAGAATTTTCTTGACATACTGCCATTTTTTCTTTTTATCTTTCATGCTTTGAAAACACTGAATTTGCTGGGTATGGTGGCACACACCTTTTAATCCCAGCCCTCAGGAGGCAGAGGCAGGCAGAGAGATGGAAGCAAGCCTGGTCCACATAGTGCCTTACAGGTGGACTAGGACTAGAGAGACCCTGTCAAAAAAAAACCAAAAAAAAAACAAAACCTGAATTAATGATTTTGCTGAGTGTCATTCTAAGTAGGAAATTATTTTTCACATTAAAGGCCTTCAGGATCTCTGTTGCTTTTGTGCTGTATTGAAAAGTGTACCATTTTGGTTCTTCATTGTAAATTGCAGCTGTCTCTTGTTTTGGTTTTGGTTTGTCTCCTTCATACTTGTAGGCTTCAAGATGATAATATACTTTGGTATGTATTTTTTTAACCAATGTGTTAGGCATTCCTTAGTACTCTTTCAATTTGGAAACATACAGACACACCCAAAAAAACAAAAAAACATATGTACACCTTTTTTTCCATGCATTCCTAACATACTTCTTAACCATAGCATCATATTTTTGTTCTGCTTTTTGGTGTTCTCTTGTCTTTCAGGCTTTGTTGCTTTTCATTTCTACTGTCATATTTGTAGTTTTTAAAACCATTTTACGTTTTGTGGGCCTTGCGTGGTGGCACACACCTTTAGTCCCAGCACTTGGGAGGCAGAGGCAGGTGGATCTCTGATTTGGAGGAAAGCCTGCTCTACACAGCAAGTTCCAGGCCAGCAGCATACAGGGAGAAATTTAATGTTCTTTTACATTTATTCAGTTATTTATCGTAGCTGCCTATCATTTTATTGAATAAAACATTTTTTAATCTGAGGTCTTCTGGGCGTTTCCATTTGTCCTGCTTTCCAGCTTTTATATCTTTTGCTGTTGTTTCTTTTTGTCTTGTTTTCCTAGTGGGTTATGCCTTTAAAATAAAAACAAAACTAAACCAGAAACAAAACAAATTTTTCCTTATATTTTGAGTTTCAAGAAGGAATAAATGGAAATGTGTGTTGGATCTTCATCTTTATGGATAAGCTTGTTGATGAGCTTTTTTGGTATATATGCTAAAATCAAAACATTTTTCTTAATTTGAAACCTAAAGACTGCAGTGTTTTGTGTATTTTTTTCCCTACCATTAGATCCCCTTAATGGGCCTTTTAATGCTCTGGTAGACTGTCCCAAACTAATAATTGCAGTTTTTTGTGTTTTTGAGGTGGGACTGGGGAGGATGGACTAGAAGGAGAAAAGGTAATATTTTTCTCTTTTCTTTTTTACCTCTTTCCAAAGATTGATCTAGTCTTTGCAAGACTGGCAATACAAACCATATCAGATAATTTAGATCTAAGAGACGACTCTCGCCTGAGAAGCCTTGATATAAGGTGTATTCGCAGCTTAAATGGTAAGCTTCTATAGAGAAACGTTAGATACCTGGTTGAAAACAACTAGATCAATAGAGAGTGGCCTTTTTTGAGGACTGAACTAGAAAAATGCTATTGGCTTAGAGTATAGCTCAGTGTTAGAGCATGCACTTAGCTTGTGAGAGACCCTGTATTGCAAAAATAAAGAGGAAAAAATCAGTTTTCTTTATATGAATAATATAACCACATTTACACATCCTAAAAGCCACAATTATTTGAAAGATTATGTTTTAAGTTGTGGCTCATAAACTTGTCTCAGGTTCCTTGTAAACAAGATTTATAGAGAACCCCCAAATGCTTTTGTTTTTGTGGATTATATCAGTTAATATATACCATATTATAAATAGAAATAAATGTTTAAAGTATTTATTAGTTCATTCAAAAATAATAAACCTATTATAAATGAAAAAAAAATTTGTGTATAAAATGGCTTTTTAAAGACTATCTTAACTGCTTTCATAGTCAATCTTTTATCTAATATCTTATTTTGGTTAAAATATCAAGGGAAACTCTTGGTTCTTAGTGATATACATTGAAAATGGAGTATTTTAATAATCTTTTTATAATTATGATTCTTCTGTGCTGTTATGCTAAAACTTTACTCCAAACTTGTTTTTAACAGCTTTTTGGGGGTATATACCATAAAGTTCATCCTTTTTTGTATACAATTCATTGGTCTTTAATGTAGTCATGATTTGTATACTAGAATCCAACCTTAGAACATTTCATCCTCCAGAAAAATCCCCTAGACCCATTTGCAGTTACTTTCCCTTCCAAGCACCAATCTGAGGTGACCACTGTTCTCTCTCTGTCTCTATGTACTTGCCTTTTCTACACATTGTAAGTGGAGTCATATAATATGTGCTCTTTTGTGTCTGGCTTCTTTCATCTAGCATAATGTTTGTGAAGCTTGTCCACATTAATAATTTGTTCATTTCTCTTGTTAAATAAAATTGGTAGTTTCTTAAAGGTTAATTAGAAAATAGAATCTAAAATCATATCAGTGAAATTACTCTGTTACATTAAAATCTAATGGTCTGTCTTACCCTTGTGTGTGATTTTTTTTTTTTTTCTACCATAGTTTGGCCATTTGGAAAATATTGATTCATATCACCAATTCTGTCAGGAAGACTTTACTATAAAGATGTCAGGTTCACAACATGAAATACAAGTTATTCAAAATTCCAATTTAACATAGAAGCTTAAATTTTATTATCCACAATTAATAGTGCCATTATTTTCCTTGAAACAAGGACCTTACTTAGCTCTTTTTTTTTTTTTAGGGAGTATCTGAATACGCAATACTGTACAAGTAAATTGGTGTTTCATAGAAGTAACAGATAATAGCATACAACTGAAATGATGACACATTCTTTCCTTTTGTTTTTTAAAATTGTGATGGTGGTGAAAATAAGCTGTATATGTTTATACTTTGTTGCCATTGCCTTGACTCACTGCTAAGATAACAGCAGTTTATCCACCACTGCTATTGTACCATCAGTGCAACTGTTTAACCACTGTGATAGTGGCAAAAATGTAGTATTTCCTGGGCGTGGTGGTACAGTCCTTTAGTCTCAGTACTCAAGATGCAGAGGCAGGTGGATCTCTATGAGTTCGATGCCAGCCTGGTCCACAAAAGGAGTTCCAGGCCTGCCATGGCTACATAGTGAGACCCTATCTTAAACAGAACAAAACAACAACAAAAATAAAGTAATACTATAAAAGTAGATTTGACCTCATAGAGTCTCATGGTTTGAGAACCACTGGTTTATAGGTCTCTCTTGGTTCAATTAATCATTGCATGTTGCTATACTTCCAGAATATAACAGTAAATCACACTTTTTTTGTTGTTGATAAGGTTTGTTTTGAAACAATAACCATTTTATAGGACAAAATCAAATGTAGAAGAAAACGAAAAGGTGCTCAGACCTATCTGTTTCAATATTGGGTTTCATTATGCATGCAATTTTTAATTGTTCAAAAAGTAAAATATTTTCTCATGTATGCTAAATATTTAAAAGTCTGAAGGTTAGGAGGACATTGGAATTAACTGAGTTTTGTTCTTTAGTGAAAAACAATGTTTTCTCTTTTTTTAGGATGTAGAGTTACTGATGAAATTTTACATTTAGTGCCAAATAAAGAAACTTTTAGACTTACCCTAAGAGCAGTCAAATTATGGGCAAAACGTAAGTATCCCAAGTCTTGTATGGTTATATTCTAAAATCCTGATTTTCTGTTGCCAGTGATAGCAGCACACATGAACACTCTGAACTTAGTGAGGCTATTAGATTGAGTGCCAGTGAACTTTTGAAAAACTGTTTTTTGGGTGTAATGGTTATGGTGTTCTTAAGTATGACTATCTTTCCATATATATAGACATTTTTCATGTGATGATTCATAAAAGGCTCTTTGCCTAGCTTTGATCTGACAAAGGATATTCTGTATTTGTGACTATAATCAACTACTGATAATGCTAATATGGGGGCTAGAGAGATGGCTCAGAGGGTAAAGAGCATTAGCTACACAAACATGAGGACCTGAGTTTGAATCCTCAGCACCCATGGCCATGGTTACATGTGCCTGTAACCCCAGCACTGTAGGAATGGAAACCAGGAGGGTCTCTGAGGCTTGTGGGCTGTCAGCCTAGCTCCAGGTGCAGTGAAAGAGCCTGTCTCAAGGGAATAAGGTAGGGAGAGGTAGAGCAGGACACCCAGTTGCCTCCTATGGCCTCCCTGTGCATGCACCTGTACTCACATGTGTACATATACTACACAAACACATAAACACAGAATTTTTTTAGAGAAGTCAAAAACAAAGTGATATAATCAGAGAAATGTTAGGTCATTCTGTGGGCATGCAAACATAATAGAATGTGCTCACATAAACCTAGTACACACAGCCTGCTGTGTATATAGACTGGTATTGTTCCTAAGCTGAAAACCTATACAACCTGTTAGCTGTTTTGATTAATATAGGGATTTGTAACACGGTGTTAAATAATTACACGTAAAAAGATACCTAAATACAGATAAGGTACAGTAAAAACACAATAGAAAGACAACATCTCTGTGATGCACTTGCCATGAGTAGAAACAGCTGTTTCAGAGGTTGCTCAGTTAGTGAATGTCTAGGACATTGATGTGCACTACCATAGACTTTATAAACACTATTTTGACCTCACTAGGTTTATGAAAAGAATTTTTTCTTCAATAATAATTAACCTTAGCCTGTTGTAACTTTTTACTTTATAAGCCTGATTTAAAAATGTTTTGACTCCTTAGTAATCATACTTAGTTTCAAACACAGGCACAAATTGGTTATGGTGGCACAGGCCTGTAATTCCAGTACTTGGGAGACAGTTGTTTGAGGGTCATAAGTTCAAAGCCAGTTTGGGCTACATAGTGAAATCCTGTCTCAAAAACCAGAAACCTGCAGACCACCTGCCACTGGTCCCAGCTACTTAGAATCCTGAAGAGGGTTACTTGAGTTCAGGAGTTAGAAGCCAGCCCATGTAGCAAGTGCAACAAAGCCCTCTCTAAAAGAAAACAGAAATTCAATCATTGTATAACTACCCCCAAAATATTTTCTTTCTATTCTTACTCTGTAAAAGTAACAGTTTTTTTCCATTTAATAAAATTTTTTACTTAAAAACAAAGACATAATTTTTTTCTCCTTATAGGTTAAACATCATGTTTTGTCAATTTTTAGATGCATAGTTTTTAAGTTTAGCACGTCTGATATTGATATCTTACAGGATTTCCCCCCACTTTCTATATGGGACATAAAAGAATGTCATTATGTAATGAGGATATACCAAGTTTTGTAAAATGTGGGTAATTTTTCATAGATTTCTATAGGAAACAGTAGTTTCACAAGTGAGTCTAGTGCCACTGGTATGTTCTGCATTATGGAGAGGTATCCAAATCTGTAAAATACTGAATGTTGTAAACAACTTTATATTTGGTTAAAATAGACTTTGAGCCTAGCATGAAAGTCTGCTTATCAATTTTAATATTGTATTCAGCACAGGCCCACACAGAATCAAAACCACCAATACCACTGTCTTCCACCTCCACTTGTCTCACAGGAAGAACTTCATAGCCAGTAACATAAGGAGTTACTTATGTAACTCCAGTAACATAAGGAGTCATTGCCTATCATCATAACAATGCCCTTTTAGCAATCCCTCTACAGTGCTTGCTTCAAGCTCTTCCTGAAGAGTTGCCACTATTCAGAAACATGTCCATCATGGTTTGTTTTCTTTTTTTTTTTTCCATTGAAGATTTATTTTTAGGCAGCTAAAGCATCATGAACATTCTTAATGAAACCTTCAGTTTGAGTGAGGTGAGGGGCCTGTTTGACTGATTTCTTTCCTTCCTTTCTTTCTTTCCTTCTTTTGGTTTTTGAGACATGGTCTCTCCCTGTAGTCCCAGCCGGTTAACTCACTATGTAGACCTGACTGGCCTCAAACACGCCCAGGTCATATTTTCAGATTTATTAAAAGAAGCTTGTTGAGATCTGCGAAAGCTTCTGCTAAATCCTTCACAATAATTTCTTTTTGGTGGTGGAGAGTAAGCTAGTGGTTTTCATCAGGCTAGACAAACACTACTCCTGAGCTAGATTTCCAGCTCGTTGTCACTGAGTTTTTTGATAATTTTTTCCTTCTGGAGTTCTTTTTTTCTTTTACGTTGTCTTCAGCTATACAGTCATTATCTTATAGGCATTGGTCATCCCCATTGTAATCTTAAGGTACTGCCATCCTGTATGTGGTCTGTCCGTGACTAGTGTCATTAGTTGTCTCAATCGAAGTAATGGTGCACAAGGTTTTGTTTTGTTTTTTAATTGAATTTTTGTGTACATCATCTTTATGCTCCATTCCCCTTTGGCACCCTCCCATAGCCCCCCGCTGGAGTTCATACATTCTATCATTTGCTGGTACCAGCTTTTTGTAGTCTAATGTAGAACTCTCCAGTGAACTTTCTTTGATTATGGTAATATGTTTTATATCAATATTGCCAAGTACAGTTAATTCTTCTGACCATTTCGCATTTGAAAGTGCAACTAAGAAATTGAATTTTTAAATTTGTTTTATTTCATTGACTTTAAAATGAAATAGTTCCCAAGGGAAAATAATGTTCATAAAAAAAATCTTACACATAAATGTTTGTAGCATTGTTGTTATTCATAATAGCTCAAAGTAAACACAGTCATGTAGTCATTCACTGATGAATGAGTACGTGGAATATCCATACTGTCAAATATTGTTTTGTAACAGAAAGAATACAGTACTGGTAAAAGTTACAACATATATGAATATTAACACCACTTTGTATGTATGTGTTGTATGCTTTGATTTATATAAAATGTCCATAAGTAAAGCAGAAGGTAGATTAGTGGCTGCCTCATTGTTAATAATAATTAACAAATATTTTCATTTTCTAGGTCGTGGTATTTATTCTAACATGCTGGGATTCCTTGGTGGAGTCTCCTGGGCAATGCTGGTTGCCAGAACTTGCCAGTTATATCCAAATGCGGCAGCTTCAACTTTAGTACATAAGTTTTTTTTAGTCTTTTCCAAGTGGTAAGTGTATTTACTTGACTAGTTGTTGACTTCTATGTATATGTAAATTTTATTTGAAAAATTTAAGGACTGTAACTAGGCAAGGTGGCCCATGTCTGTAATCATCCTAGGTCTTGCGAGTTTGAGGCAGGAAGAATAACTTGAGTTTAAGGCCAGAGTTCCATAGTCTGTAGCAGTCCTAGGCTACAGCATAAGACCCTCTTTCAAGAAGAGCAACAACAGAAAGAAAACATATGCAATAAATATTTTTTCCCTTCTTTTACATTCCTTAAAAGCTTAAAAATTTGAGGCAATGGAGGCATCTAGAGGGCACTCTTTTCTCTTTTTTTTCCTTTTTTTTTTTTTTAAAAAAAAAAACCTTTTTTATTTTTTTATTTTATGTGTATACATGTATTGCCTGTATGTAGGTAAGTGCACCCATGTCGTGCAATGCCCACAGAGGACAGAAGAGGCCATCGGATCCCCTGGAACTGGAGTTACGGACAGTTGTTAGCTGCCATGTGGGTGCTGGGATTCGAACCTGGGTCTTCTGCAAGAACAACCAGCGTTCTTAAGCGCTGAGCCATCTCTCCAGCCCGAAAAAAAACTTATTTTATGTGTATGAGTGTATTGCCTGCATGTGTGTAAGTGCATCTATGTCGTGCAGTGCCCAAAGAGGACAGAAGAGGCCATCGGATTCTCCCAGAACTGGAGTTAGGAAGGCTTTTAGCTGCCACTTGGGTGCTAGGAATCAAACCCAGGTCCTCTGCAGGATCAGTCAGTGCTTTTAACTGCTGAGCCATCTCTCTAGCCCCCTTCTCCCTTTTTTTAAATTGATACATAGAAGTTGTACATATTCATGGGGTGCCAAGATATTTTGATAGGTATGTACTTTACATGATCGGGGTTTGAATGTTTGCCTCCTCAAATCTTTATCATTTCTTTTTGTTGAAAGCAATTTTTACCTTTCTTTGAAGTCTGTAGTGAAACTATAATTGTAATTAGTCTAGTGTGTAATAGAACACCACAACTTGTCACTCTGTATAACTAATATAATACAGCTGACTAACAAGTCCCTCTCCCTTGGTCTACCTTGATCTCTTGCTAAGCACTATTCTACTTTTACCTGTGAGACCAGCGTGTTTAGATTCCTTATTAGAGTGAGATCCTGAAGGATTTTTCTGTGTCTTGCCCATTTCACTTAATGTAATAACCTCTAGTATCCCCCACAATTTCATCTGTTTTATTTCCCTTTTTTTTTTTTTTTCTGGAGAAAGAGTCTCACTTTGTAGCCCATGCTGGCCCATTCCTGCTGTCTTCTCCTTTCAAGTATTAGGGTCACAGGTGTGCATTATCACACCTAGTTTTTTCTGTTTTTTTTTTTTTTAAGATTTATTATTTATGTGTATGTGTGTGTGCTTTTGCTTTGCACATTTGTGCAGGTACCCACAGAAGCCGGCCGAGCCTTTCAAATTCCCTTGGTGCTAGAGTTGCAGGCAGTTGTGAGCTTCCCAAAGTGGGTGCAGGGAATCAAACATCGGTCCTTTGCAAGAGCAGCACATGCTCTTAACCACTGAACCATCTTTCTAGCCCTTGTCTCTCTCTCTTTTAATGGCTCAATAAGTAATAAGGAGTTTGTGGATGTGGGTCTTATCTTGGGAGAAAAAAGTTATCATGGGTTTGGCTCTGTAAATTACTAGCTATGAGGAGGTTGTTTAAGCTCTCCTTTCTTGTAAAATGGAGATAATAATCATTGCTACTCTATTGATACATTAGTATTTCCAGCAAATGTAGTTATTGCTATTAACATATTATCAGAATTCAATCCATGAAAGCAAATGAGAAGGAAGGGAAAACTCAGGTATAAATTGTTTACAACTAATAAGCAAAGGACTGTTTGGCATTTTAGAGAAAAGACAAATAAATAGCTTTTTCCTTTGTGCACTTTGTACTTCTCTTGCTAAAATGCCCAAATACCAAATACCCAGAGCACTAGATGTAAGAAGGTTGAAACAGACTAATAATTTAATAGTTTCTATAGACTCTGAAATGAGATTCTGTGACTTAATTTGCTTTATTCATATTAGGGAATGGCCAAATCCTGTGCTGTTGAAGCAACCAGAAGAAAGCAATTTGAATTTGCCTGTCTGGGATCCTCGGGTATGTAGATTTATTATGGAAAAGAACATTTCTCAAAATTACAGTCTAGTCTCTGCACAACTTTCTTCTATGTTGCAGAAGCCCTTCCCTGGCTGTGTATTTTGGTGCAGCTGATTTGAACCTCTATTCAAATGTTACATCATTAAAAATTATTCATATGACTAGTAAGTGGGTATATCAACTGTAGTGTCACAGTCCATTGTGAAAACCTGTTTCACAAGTAATTGGTTATAATAAAGTACTGGAGTATATAAAAATTTTACCTTGCAGTACAGTTTAAAACACTTGTACTTCTCACAGAGCTTCTCTTTTAATTTGGTTATAGAGTGGGTGCTCATGTCTGTGCATAACTAAAGATAGTCTCTGTAGTTATCATTGTATATTTCCTTAATCCTGAAAAACCCATTGCTTTTAAGATAACTGTCTGCAGTTTCATCAAACAAGCAAACATCTGACTTGAAAAAGAAACGTAGTTGGGGAGGGGAAATGTACTTCCTAGAATGGAGGAAATTTAGTATTAAATTTATATTTCATATTCTTCAGACTTTGGGGAAATGAAGTGAGGACAACTGAAATAAGAGAATAGATCAGTTATTCTGCTTCTAATTTCACAGGTAAATCCATCAGATAGGTATCATCTCATGCCCATAATCACCCCTGCCTACCCACAGCAGAATTCTACGTATAATGTGTCCACATCAACTCGAACAGTAATGGTAGAAGAATTTAAACAAGGTAAACTTCGGCCCTGTTGCCCTTACATGTTCCCCAGGTTTTGGTTAATTCTCTATATTGCAGCTGTTTGGCAGTTAGAATTATGAAACTCAACTCTTTCTAAAACTTCAAATTTTTTCCAAAGTATATGATACTAAGGCCAAAGTTTGAGCCAGTTCAGTATGATTGAGCCTAACTTTTGTGTTCTAAGATGCAACAGTGGGTTTACATTGTCTACGTCAAGCATTTGTTGGGGTTAGGTGTTTGTGGGTAAAATAGTATAAAAGCTGATCCAGTTTGAAAATTAGACATAGTTTCTAAAACCCTCTGAGTTTTGTTTTTGTTTAGGTCTTGCAGTTACAGATGAAATTCTTCAAGGGAAATCAGATTGGTCCAAATTACTTGAGCCACCAAATTTCTTTCAAAAATACAGGTATTTAAATTTTTACAAATTTTGTTTATATTTAGAAAGAATAGCAATTTTTTGGTTTGGGTTTTCTTTGGTTTTCAGGACTTTTTAAAACATTTATTAGTGTGAGGAGTGGGCTACATGCCACAGCACTCATGTAGAGGACAGAGAACAGTTTGCAAGAGTTGGTTCTGATTTCCACTCTGAGGCTCTCAGCGATCAAGCTCAGGTCGACAGGCTTGGTGGCAAGCTCTTAACCTGCTAAACCATCTTGCTGGCCCCTTGTGTTTTGATTTGTTTTGTGGTGGGTTGGGGCATGATGTGGTGTTTGAGACTGGCCTGAAATTTATACTGGTCCTCCTGCCTCTGCTTCATGAGTGCTAGGATTACAAGTGTAAACCAACCACATGTTCAAGCAAGAACATTAAATTTAGGACGCTAATACATAACAGATGACAGGAGATACTTATATTTCTTAAGCAAGGTAGAGAATGGGCTAATAGAGAAATTCTAGATGATAAAGGTTGTCTCTATTGTAGTAGCAGTCTAGCAGTGGTGATTTTTTAAGTGAGTTATTTTTAAACTGTAGGGGCAGCTTTGTGAAAAACAGCATGCTCTTTCATACACTGTATACTTGTATTGTTCTTTCGTTCATTGGGATGAAGAAAGAAAAAAGCTGGTGGAAAGTAGACTAACAATGTTTCTGGCTTTTTTTCCCCCTGATGATTGCTGCAAATTCTCGATAGACATTATATAGTATTGACTGCAAGTGCATCAACAGAGGAAAATCATCTTGAATGGTAAGTTCTCTTTCCTCCTGTCTGGTGTTAATAATATGCTTGCATGATGCTTTACCATTAACTAGTTTCTTGCTCAGTTTTCTAAACTATGCTGTCTTGTGGTGACTAATCATACATGACGGAGCATCGTTAATTAAGACATGCCATCAAGTTAGATTTCAGAATCAGCAATGGTATAAGAATGGGTTCATATTTTATCTGTTGCTTTTCAGAGTCAGATTTAAGCAAAGTTTTGAAGTAGTCTCGATGTTTCTGATATGCACCAGCTTTTTACTATCCTTGTTTCCTCCTCCAGAATTAAAGGGAAAGGCATTTTATCTCTTTAATTTAGGTTTGGTGGTATGAAGGTTTTCAGAACTGTACAAGGTACATCCATTCATCCCTTCTGCCTTTTCAGAATGTTCACATTCCTGGCTCTATTAGTCAGAAACTGTTGGGCCCCCAGTACTTTCCTCCAGTCTGGACTTGTTGCTTCAAGGGCTTTTTGTTTCATTGGTAATTCACCTTTTACTGTTGTATTTAATTTATCTAGATGAGGAGTCAGAAAAGTACAGCCTGTGACAAATTCAGTCTGTCACTGATTTGGGTTTTTATAAGATTTTATTGGAATAAGCAATCCTTCATTAATATATTGTTGATAACTACACTTTACTGCAAAGGGAATATTGCACAGATGGCATAGTTCAAAAGCCTAAAATACATACTATTTGGTCCTTTGTAGAAGTTGACCAACCTCATTTAGGTAATACTACATTAATTCAGATTTTTTTATATCTGCTATTGAAACACAATATACTACATAAGGTTTTATAAGCATTTGAAAATATTTTAAAATATTCTTGAAGTTACTGATTTAATAAAGTCACTAATAACTGACAGTAATTTTTTTTTAATACAAGTGTTTTGCATGCAGATACATAAGTGAACTGTGTGTGCGGTACCCACAGAGGTAATTGTTGGATTCCCTGGAATTGGAATTATATATGGTTGTTAGCTGCCGTGTGGGTGTTGAAAAATGAACCCAAGCCTTCTGCAAATGTAGCCAGGGCTCTGAGCTATCTCTCCAGCCACAACAGTCATTTTTCTTTTCTTTTCACTTTTTTTTTTTGATTAAAAGTTTTCTTTTTCCAAATGTATAGTCAGTTGAACCTGTTCAGGCATCTTCACCCTTTGTGTTTCTGCTGCCCTGGCCAGGACAAATCTTCAGTGTCTCAGGGACCACATCTGGGGTAATAAGTTTATAGTTGGGAACTTCCTTACACAGCTTGTCATAACCTAGCTTTGCCAAACAGGACCAGGTTGTTGAGCTTGTCCCAAACTTTGCCTTTGGACCATTTCTTTTTGGCCTTGACCCAAACTTGTTTACTGGATCTTTGTCTTTCTTGACCGACTTTCTAGCATGTCTTTTTGTTGTCCTTGGGTGGCATGGTGAACTCCGAGAGCAACATTAACCACTGCAGCCTCACTAAGATGGTAGACTATTTCTTAAGTGAGATAGAAAATAAAGTTGGAGGAAACCTGCATATTTTTCTAATATTTGATTGAAATTTAGTGTATTTTTAAATGCAAAGTCTAACATTAACTTGAAGAAAATAAGTATACTTATTTCAAAAAGTATGTGCCTGCATTAACTTTTTGTTCATATTATGTAAAATTAGTTTAGCCTTAGGGTTAAAAAAAAAAATACAGGACCACACTGAGTAATAGTTTTTGTTCATGTTCAATTCATGATTATTATAGCCTTTTACCAAAAGTAGGTGTTTTTATATTCAGAAATGCATTAAATAAGTCAGTTCTACCTGAAGTCACTAAATTGACATTTACCTGCTTGATATTTTATTTCTTGTGTCTGTGTCTATGATGTATGTGTGTGGGAATATGTGTTTACTACGGCCTGGATATGGAGGCCACAGGCCACTTCAGGAATTTTTTTCTCCTTCCACTATGGATTCCAGAATTCAAATTCAGGTTGTTGGGCTTGCATGGCAAGCATTTTTCCCCATTGAGCCATCCTACCACCTCCTAATGGTATTTTGAAGAGTCCCTACTATAATTGGACTATGTTTTGTATTTCAGCATATAAAGCTTCATAGTTGATATGCTGCTTGGTTTACTGTAGTATAGTTGCCAAATTTACTTGATATGGTCATACAAAAATCTTGTCTGTTATTTAATTTTAGGGTTGGATTAGTAGAATCTAAAATCCGTGTACTTGTTGGAAACTTAGAACGGAATGAGTTTATTACTCTTGCCCATGTGAATCCCCAGTCATTCCCAGGAAATAGGGAACATCATAAAGAGTAAGTCCATTCTTAAATACATTCTTGAAAAGTTATTTGACATAAGCTTTGTTTGAAATGAGTTGTGAGATTGTGCTTTACAAGTATTGATAGAGGGATGGTGTATGTTTGAGTATGACTGACTGGATTAAAAAACATGCACATTACTGTAGTATTTAGCAGTCCTCAGCAAAAACTCCCTGACGGTATTTGGAGTATCTTTAAGTATATATTCAAAAAGTCATTGTTCAGAACTGTTTACTCTTTAGAACAGTATTAGACAACAAGTGTTTTGGATATAGTTTCAAGAATTTGGCCAGATTACCAAAATCTCTATTAATGAGGTAGAGACATAGAAGCTACGTTTTAATCACCAATTAGTATTTGTTCAATTGAAAAAAAAAATTAATGGAAATTTTTAAATTTTACTTTTTAGGAACAATTTTGTATCAATGTGGTTCCTTGGGATAATTTTTCGAAGAGTAGAAAATGCAGAAAGTGTTAACATAGACTTGACATATGATATCCAGTCATTTACTGATACAGGTAAGACTTTGTTATTATAGGGCTGTGATTCTCAAGCATGGCTGTAACCCAGAGTCATCTATCTAGGATCTAGCTGGAGATATTTTTTAAATTCCTACAATTTGGTTAAATGAAATGGTGCCCATATTGTGGAAATCTGTACTGCCATTTTAGAAAAGCATGATGAAGCAGTCTTCAGGGCATAATAAGGACGTTACAGGACAGTGGGTATAGTACACTACCATTTAATTGAAGAAACAAGTACATACCCACAAATACAGAGACTATCTTTGATGAGATACTTTTTTTAAAAGGGAGCTGGTGATTGCTTCTTAATCAGTGAGCCAGCCAAAGTGCTGTACCATTTAAATGTATTCTCTGTTTTAAAACTAATACTCCACAGATCATTTTCCATTTATGTACAGCCAGAGCTGATAAGCACAGTTCATAAAGAGGACTTGATTTTCTGTTTTTCATGTTTAATAACTATTAGTAGATAATAGACTTGCTGAATACATTTCAAATCAGTAGAAAGAATGTCTTTCATACCTCAGCCACATTTCTCAGAGCTAGTATTAATCTGGAGCATCATATGCTTTTTTTTTTTTTTTTTTAGGTCTTTTGGAGACAGTGTCTCCTCTAGCCCCAGCTGGCCTGGAACTCACTATGTAGACCAGGCTTTCTTGGAACTCTTGAGATCTGTGAATTAGAGATCAAATTTTTCAAAAAGGGGTTAAGTTGGGATACTCTGTATTAATGATCTATAAGATATTCTTGTCCACATGGAAACTCTGTGTCCCAAGATATTAATTTATTGCATTTCATCGTTTTTACTGAGCGTCCCTGTCTTCACTTTACAGAGAACCTCACTGGCCGTTCACAATTAAAATATGTTAATTTGTGTGGTAATGTAACTTTCTTACAAGTTGTGAAAACACAAGAATGGAGATGGATTCTGTACATGTGTATTTTGAACCAGGCAAGGTGTTCAGGGCTTTTTGAGCCACATTTTTCCACCTGCACAGTAAAGGTGGACTTCAGATAACTTCTAAAGTCTCATGTTATTTTCCTGATGTGGAATACAATAATAAAAGAAGCCTCTCAGGGTAAAAGAGAATTTGAATTGCGTCTTGAATATTTGATAGAAGAATTATCTTAGACCTGGGCAGGCAAATTATGAGTAAAAACTGCTTTTTTGGAAAATAGCAAAAAACACCAGGAGTAGTGGTACATGCCTTTAATCCCAGCATGCAGGAGGCAGAGGCAGGTGGAGCTCTGTGATCACTGTGTCTACATAGTAAGTTCCAAGCCAGCTTGAGACCCTGTCTCCGAAAAACCAAAAAAAGAAAAAGAAAAATGAAAGAAAACAAAATAGCAATATGATTTGAAAAAAAACTTTCTTGCTGTATATTTGTTTTCTTAATGAGGTTTGTTGGTAAAGCCTTTAGAGGACGGACAAATGAACCAGCCAACACTTAAATACGATTGGGGCACAATGGAAGTGTTGTAGAAATATTTGCTCTATAAAAGGGTATGTTTCATGGGGATAGAAGATCTCTGCCTATTAGAATATAACAGCTTGTGGTTCAGAAAGGAGTTTCCCATTCAACATTAATATCGTTACAGTATACAGACAGGCAAACAATATAAACATGCTAAAGGAAGGAATGAAAATCGAAGCAACTCACGTAAAAAAAAAGCAACTTCATCACTACCTACCAGCAGAGATTCTTCAAAAGAAGAAAAAGGTAAATCTAATCTTATTCTCTATGATTTTATGCAAACAGATGATCCTCAGACAAAATTTGAATTAATACAGCTCCTAGAACTATTGGGAGAAAGAGAAAGATTATAGACAATTCAGTGTAAAATCTTTCCTTATCACAAGAAATGATTCACTTTTATATACTACAGAATTGAAGCCAGTCTTTATATTTTCTTTCTTTTTTTTTTTTTTAAAGATCATTTTTTAAATTTATGTATTTTTTTCGGCCTTCTTGAGACAAGGTCTCCCTGTAGCCCCAGCTGGCCTGGAACTCACTATGTAGACCAGGCTGGCCTTGAACTTGGAGAGATCCACCTGCCTCTGTCTCCCAAGTGCTGGGATTAAAGATGTGCACTACTCCTCACTCCCCCTAGCCTGTCTTTACATTTTCATTTGCTTTTGAAATCCTAACAGCTTTTCTCTTTTAACAGAGCCTTTCTGATGTGAGTCGAAGTTCAGGTGGACTTCAGGCCAAAAGATCATCTCTGGATAGCAGCTGTCTGGATAGCTCCAGAGACACTGATAATGGAACACCTTTTAATTCTCCAGTGTCTACAAATAAACCTTCTAAACCTGATAGTCCTTCAGGAGAAGCAGAAAGGTATGTATATCAAAACTGTCCTTTCAGTCTTTATTAGAGAATATAAGAACTTTTCTATACTTTTGCTAAAAGATTTTTTCGTCATTAAAAGACTTTTATCATACTAGCAGCTAGTCGGCTTCTTGTTTAGAAACACTTGATAATTTCTGTAGTGCTGTAGGAGATGGTGTAGGGAATCATGAAGTACAGAAAATGCAAGTTTCTTTTGGTAAGGTCGGAATAGTAGAAAGAAGTAATCCTAAATGTTAAAATAAGAGTTCTTAAGTAATAATTAAATCACTTAATAATGCTAATTTAATATTTTTGCTAGGAATAGTGCTGAGCCTACTACTGTAATTGTGGAGCAGCCACCAAGCGTCCTCCCAGCTCAAGGACTATCAATTCCAGTCATTGGTGCAAGTAGGTGTCTAAACTTTTATTGTTAACAATTGTACTTCATAAATACTTAATTACTAAAATCCTTTTTGTGCTTTTCAGAAGTTGACTCTACAGTAAAAGCTGTATCATCCTCGGCCGTGTGTACCATCCCTACTGTAGTAGGACGTAATGTTATTCCTAGAATCACAACACCTCACAACCCTGTGCAAGGACAACCACATCTAAATGGAATGTCAAATATAACTAAGAATGTTACACCCAAAAGATCTCATTCCCCGTCTAGAGATGGGACTTCTAAAAGGTTGAAAGATGTAGAAAAGGTAAGTTATGACTTTAGTGGTGACTAAGTAGTTAATTTTTTTGTAAACTCACAATTCTCCTTAATTATGTAAGTTTTCCATTAAGGGTTGTCCTGTTTGAAAAGAATATTTTGAATCCTAAAGGAATAATATTTGTTATTCTTTAAATCAAATTACTAAATGTTTGAAAATTTGAATGATTAAGTCTCTCCTTGACTTCCACAAAAGTCAAGGAGACTGCTGGTAACTCAGTTACTGTTATTTCTTCTGTTAAGTGCTGCGTCTTTTCTGCTTCCAGTAGATGGTGGTAAAATGTATTTTGTTAGACTCTGATTTGGTTTCATCAAATGATCACTTAAGAGTAGCAGTTGAATTCAACATAAGTTCTAGTTGGATTGTAGTAGTTAATCAAATTGTAGTTTTTGATGATAGTTTATGTAGATGTGTGTGGTCTTTGCAGCTACATAATAGTGACTTATTTTTATTGTTTATATTTTAGTTTATTCGACTTGAATCAACATTTAAAGACTCCCGTGCTGCTGAAGAGAGAAAAAGAAAACCAGTGGTAATTAACATTGTACTTCAGAGTATTTAGTTTCAGAGGGCAATGTATCATGAAAAGTACGATAGAAAATATCTCAGATCCATCAGGTTTGGGTTGTGTTTTATTTCAAGTAAGAATAAGTGTTGCATGTGGAAAGTTTTCACTTGTATATTTGATTCTGTTCATAGGATGCCATTGGTGGAGAATCTATGCCTATTCCAACTATTGATACGTCACGCAAAAAGGTAATAGATGATAGGTAATAGAGTCATAGGTTTAAAACAAGTACAAAAAATTTATTAAGAAACCAGAACTAGATCCCATTACTTGGGAGGCTGAACAAGGAGGATTGCTGGAAGTTCAAGTTCAAGGTGAGCCTGGGGGTGAAAGGGAGTGATGCTAGAATTAGAAAAGGGTAAGATTTTTGTCCCTGTTCTCAAAGACTAGTAGGCGAGGGATAACTAGTAGAGTATAGTTCTGAAAGGGCATCCCTCAGAAGTAACTCCAGTTCCAGAGAATCCAGCACCCTCTTCTGACCTCTGTGGACATTGCAAGATACGGGTATACACAGACACGCACACACATATGCAGGCAATACACTCACACACATAAAATAATAAATGTTTTTTAAAGAAACGTAAGCTGAATAGCTCCCAACACTCAATTTTAAATTTTACTCTTTGAAGAATTACCTAATGGTAATTCTTACTAAATACTACTAAATTAGTATTAAGCATGTAAGCTAATAAGCAAAGGTTGAAAAGTACCTTGTACATCATTTAAGGCCCTTCTCAGTTGTCAGTGAACAAAATGTCTTCTTTTCGCCCCTCCACTGAAGAACAAAATGCCTCCTTGTCATTAGCTGTCACCCTCCCAGGTTCCCCAGGATGTATTGGCCCTTTGAAAGGAAGATAGTATCTTCATAGGCAGTTTTAGTTACAGAATTCACAAGACTGGGTTACAGAAAATATGTGTATAAATATATTGAATATGATAGAGGAAGAAAAAATATTGAGGTGGGTATTAAAGTATAGAAGAGTGAATGACTTGATTGTGCTTTAAAATATTTCAGGTTAAAGCGTAAGTGGGTAAAATTGTGTTGTAGCAGTGTCTAAAGTTTGGCAGTGTCTAGCCTTCATTACCCTTTTTCTACTAATGCGGTTATTTATGAGTTTGTATTTGTGGTGCTGGGAATTGAACCCACTGATCTGCATCCCTAGCCTGCAAATTAAGTATTGCAGTCATATTTTGACACATTCTGTATTGTTTCTATCACACAAAAGTCTGTGTTTTAGAACTCTGTAAACTTCCTGGTTTCTTAGATTGCTCTCATGGTCTATTCTCAGGTCCTCAGCATTGCCTACATAGGCGTCTGAATTTTTCCATTAGTTACCTAGCCAAAGTTCAGTTTTCCTGAAGTGTCTCACAGTTGGGCTACAAGTTCTCCAAGAATGTATTACCAAAACAGATTGAGGGACATAACTCTCAAATACCAGATCTTCCTACATAATCCCCATTTTACTACCCACCCCAAGACATTCCCATTTAATCCTCAAGTGCTTTCTGTTTCTCAGTATGGCCTGACTTTAAGGAGGCAAGAGTTCTTTATGCATTTCTCAGTCTAGAGATGGTGAGCAGAATCCTCTTCCAACTAGACAAATTCACACTGCTGTTAACTGCTGCCTCTACCTTTTGCCCACTCCTCTGCTTTGACTTTAAGAAAAGTTACAAAAGTAAATACTTACAAATGAATAGTTAAGGAGCTTAAGGGATTTGGAGAAAAAACTCCAAGAAGGGTTTTGTGGTTGATGAGCCTTTGTGTGTGTGTGTGTGTGTGTGTGTGTGTGTGTGTGTGTGTG